AGTTCCAACTGCAATGAAAGTGCTGCTGCTGCTGAGAATCTGCTACTAGAAGGAGAGAACTGGAACTCCAAAGATACAGAATGAGACTACTTCTTCTCCTTGGACTAATATAAAAAGGGAAGAAGTATTTCTGTGTATATATATATAGCATTCCAACTTAAGTAGAAATTGTTATAGATATAATTCTTTAGTTTTTAACTTATTAGTAGTATTAGTAGTTTTTATTTTACTAGTAATAAATGTTTATACTGTTCCCCCAAGTCCTGTCTCTCTTTTGTCTGCAAATACCTTCTCTCAACTAGTAGTAATTATGTGAGGGTGGAAAGCAAAATGGACCCAGAGCAAAACCACGACAAGAATTCAACACTTTACAATACATAAAGATCCTGCTGTGCCAAATAACATGATACAAGATGCGTAAGCTGTTTCAGATTTTCCTTGGAAACAGTATTTTATGCTGTGGAGGACAAAAACCCAACCACAGACATTCAGAAAGATAATGAGAACGTGGTATACGATTAAATACTGGACTATGTAAAGATGTTTCTCTTTGAATTTCATATGTTTATTAGCTAAGAGCTTTCACAAGACTCTGCAGTAGCCAAAACTTCTGCCAGCCTTTACAGGATTTTTATTAACCTCAGGCACTTGTAAATCCAATCCTCTGCTAATGCACCTGGAAGGAAGGACATAAGGAAGGTAGCACACGAAGGCAACGCAAGTGGAACCCTGTTACCTGCTTACTGCCTGAACATGTACTGTGATTAGCTTTGTTTCAGTTTGTCAGAGACAAATAATTATTTCTCTCATTGCAGGACTGTTTGGAGAGTTTGGAGCTGGGACATTAACTCCCTCTGTCAGAATTCATTGTATGTTATCATTAATAGTTTTGAAATTAAAATTAAAAGCTGCTTATCATTATTTCTATCCACTTTACCCCCAAAATAGACTGAACAGACACAGACAGACATAAAGTTACACTTCTTTAGACATTGCACTCACCTCTTCTTCCCTGTGGTACTCTGCAATGAGGTGGAATGGCACTGTGTACAGTGTGCTGGACATGACTCCAAAGAGTGAACACAGAGCCAGAGTGGAATAGACATTGGGAAACAAGCCAATTAATCCAGTACCCAATCCAAAAAGCAGGTATCCGATGAAATAAAGCCCTTTTAATCCTATGTATGGCAGAAGAACTTTCTGTACGTCTGTGAAAAGAAAGTGAAAATGCTGATAACACTGAAACAAAACAGGTCACATTCCATCAGGGAGTTCCTTTAAGGGGTTGTATTTTGTAAAATGAAGTGAAGGAGATAATCTTACTGATTTTGGAAGTTGCCTCAAATTACTGTAGGTCTAAGTTTGACAAAGAATACTTGCTCTCTCTGGGGATATTCTGTCATGGCCAGCTCCAGAGAAAAAGTAAACAACCATTCTGGAAGAACTGCCCTCACTGACTTTAAAAATGTTATGGAAACTTCCCTGTCTTACCATCCAGGAGCTGCTCTGACAGTCACATTCACAACCACCTAAGCTGGGGCTGAGGCCCTTGTGCAGCTACACCCCCCACACCAGGTTTCCTTTCAGGCTCCATCCCAGGTTTCCCATGGCAGAGTCCCAGATGTTTGGATCCTTAAAATAATTTAATCTTGGTGCAACAACAGGATAACAGCTTGAACTGGTGCCTTCAAGGAGGGACCCTGAACAAAGGAAGCCCTAGGCTCTTATACCCTCACAGTCCAAGCACATGAAAGTCTGGGGTCATTGTCTCCTGCTGTGTCTCCAAGTGTCCAGTCCCCTAGCTGGGCCACAGGGCCCTTTTGTTGTGTTTCAAAAGTGAAAAGATTTCCCTTACGATTCTTTCAGATGCTCAATTCAGTCCCTAAAATGCTACTTAATTGAGCTTTTGGATCACAAATAGTTTTTTTAATCCTTGGTAAGATTATAGCCAGGTGGGCATCGATCTCTTCTCACGGGCAGCTCTCAGCAAGGCAAGAGGGCATGTGTTAACATATGAGTTTCTAAGAATGCTGTAATTTTAACATTTCTTAAAGTTTTAATGAGGAAAAGAAAACCAGTTATATTTTTTAAACAGTGGCAAATAGCAAATGGCTTCAAAACACAGTGTTGGAGTTCATTCATGGACACTTACAAGAATAGACTGATGAAGAAATTGCATTGATGCACAGCCCCCAGCATCCCATCTCTACTCCTGTTTTGTAGGTAAGGTAAAGTGTGGAGTTGTGAGGTGCATAAGGATTACCCTGGTATACAACCTGAAAGAGAACACAAGGATCACAGAAGGTAAGGATGACTGCAGGTATAGAATGCTTCCCTCAACACAGGGCCTCATCCCTGGTGGGGAGCACCTGGAGAATCTGCTAAGCAGTGTCCTAACCACCCCTCTATAATTCTGCAGGCTTCACACTCACATCTGCCCCATTATCACATCCCAGGCTCCTCCTCATTTATTTCCCTCTGCCTTTTCCCAAACTGTGCATTCCACATTGATGCATTTGCTTTTTTCCTTTGGGTATCTCACTTCCCACTCCCCTCTCTTCATTTCTTCCTTCTTTCCTTAGCCTTTCTTTCCTTAATTTATCTACAAATAATTTTTTTTTTCTTTCAGGCTTACCTCAATAAATTAATTTTTCCACACAGTAATGGTCTTACTCAGTTCTGCATCTAGACAAGAAAAACTTTTTTCTTTCAGTCATTCATACATACTACAGGGGAAAAAACCTCTTGCCTTGCCTACAGAGACAAAAATGGCAAGGGAAATGCGAATACTGCATGGAAACCACAGAAAAAAAAGGAAGTGGCAATGAGTGGATTTGTGCTGGGGGCACATTAGTACTCTGGAAGAAAGGAGGCAGACAGGTTCATTTAGGCAAGAATCGCTGTCAAGGGCATACAGTCTTTTTGCCCAGGAATGGCATGGAAAAGGAAGCACTGGATATTACGAAGGCAAACAGTTGCTGGCAAAAGGACCTCAGGGAAAGATTTACAGAGGTGTGGAGGGACAGACAAACTCAAGAACACATGAGCTTTCTGCTACCAGGTATCTCAGTGTGTGGAAAGAGCTGCACAGCCTAAGGCCAAGGAGGCTGCAGTGCAGGGGCATGGCTTTGTGTGGATGGTGCCCAAGCTCCAGGACAAGGCCAGCTGCATCCAAGCGTGGCTCCAGTTAGAAAGCCTGCCCATCTCAGAGCAGCTCTGAAGCCAACGCAGAAAATGGCCGTGTTTGGATGATCTCTGAGAGCTTTCATTTGGAACAGTTAAATAGACACAAACAGCCTTACAAATGCTGAAAGCTTTTTCCCCGACAATTCAACAGACTGGCTCAGAACAAGGGCCTGACCTCAATTTGCTGTTTTACAAAACTCTTGTTGAGCCATCCAGATACAAATGGATCTGACACCAACCTCATTTCTGCAGGATCATAACACCGTTTAATTTCTTTTGATGGAGAAGGAGATGCTACTAGGAAGCAGAAGAGAGAGGATTTTACACTTTTACCTGTCCCATGAAATCCGTGAAGAAGAGCATGTTGGACAGGAAAGCCATCCATCCAAAGAGGTGGCTCACACACAGACAGCGATAGTGGGATGGCATGTTTAAAAGTGTCTTCAAGAGTGATTTAAGGGTCATCTGCCTTTGATCCTAAAAACAAATATTTAAGAGTAATTACTGTATTATTGCCCTGAAGGTTAATAAAATAGCTGATAGCAAATGAAGAAGGCCTTAGTATCGTTTCATTGCTAGGTTTCCAAAGTTTTTTACTTTTTCCTAGGAAAGAGTTGCTTGTGTACTAAATGTCCTTCAATATATAAAACTCACAGAAGAGCTGGGGTATACCAACAAGGAAGTTACATTTTTTGCTGTTATGATCATCAGGATTAATATTTATGTGTAGTACTACAGAAAAATGTTATGCCTAAGCAGATTCAGGGAGTTTAAACAAAAACAAACACAACCAAAAAACAAAACCACAAAGACACAAAACCAAAACCCCAACAAAAACAAAAACAAAACAAAACCCCAAAACCAAAAACAAACAAAAAACCAACCAAACACAACAGCAAAAGTAACCAGGAAAAAAAATTATTTCTTTATGGAGACGATCAGCTTTACACTGAAAATTTAATACATTTTGGTATCAGTTGTGGATTTCTAAACATCTCTGAGACCTCCTTCCCTTTTATTTTGTGTGTTAAATTCCCTAGAAAAATTCTTTTTCTAGGGAAACTTCTACCTCTTCAGGCATATCACAAGATTTCCACTATGTACTGTCCCCCCTTGCACGAACCAGGGTAAGATGTGATTCACTACAGGAGATGCAGCACCACTCAAAATCCTGGCACCCAGAGAATGTGAGCTCCAGAATCTGAACACCTCATACCACGGGAGAAATAACTCAAAATCAAAACATTATTGGGGCTGGTTAACAAATCTCATGGATGGGGAAAAACCACATTTCTCATCACCTTCAATGCCTCACATTATCTCCCTCCTCTTTATCTCAGCCCTGTGTCCTAAAACTTTATCTAAGTTTCTTTTCCAGTTACATTCATCAGATCACTTATATAATTTTAATGTTTTTTTTTTTTATTACTGTAGGTGTGCTTGATTTCAGGTATTTTGACATGTAATTCTTCCTACATTAAAGGTCCTGAAGGGTTCCTTGCTTTTAAATTTAAAAAATACTATTTTATCTGTGCTTGATGGAACACTTCCAATTTTTTGTAGACAACAGTGTGGGGAGAGATGGTAAGGGAAGCTGTATGGTCATGAAATGTGGAAGAACTGTAAAAATTATGTTAATTACTGGAAATTACTGGACTAAATTTTGTCTTCACTTTGCTGTAAGATGTCATTTTTTCCTTTCTTCTTTCAATGTTGTAGTTACTTTTTACAATTCATCTTTCATTTGAGCTGGGTTATGCTGCAAGCTACTCTATGAATAATCACCACATATAAAGTTGGAAAATACTTTGCTTTAGTGGGAGGTTTTTAATCCTCATAGGAATGCCAAAATTCAAGTTGCTGACTTTCACCTTGAACTACATATTGTCCAAATCCCTTGGAATTTCTCTTGGCATCACTGTCTCTTTTAAACTGGGTAAGGTTTATATTCTTTTACAATTCAAAAAAACAAACCAAAAATTTCACACTGACTCATTAATGTTATTTCAAGGATAATTACTATCTTTTTACCTGGCTTATTTAGTTTATTAACTCTTCCAGAGAGTTCTTTAAAACAGCCTTTCCAATCGAAGTGTTAACTTAAGGTCATGGAACTGCAAAGGACACTGCTGTGATTACGAACAATAAGTTGACAGCTAGATAGAAATGCTTTCTTTCTATTTAGATGTTTTAGAGACTGGAAATGGAAACTAAAATTTTTAATGTGCACATTCAATATGGACCAACACACAAACCACATGCTAATTTAAATGATGTGCTGAAGTTTGGCTCTGTTTAAATGCTTTATCCTTCAAAAACTCACAGTACTAAATAATCTTCTGTGTAAATTCACTACAACTCAAGGCACAAGCTGATTTATAAGGATACAGAAAAATCAACATGACTTGGGTATTATGCCAGTGGACCCTGAGTAATCTGGCACCAGGCAGAAGAACACAAGGCTAATCACTTTGGATGTCTGTTCATACTGCAACAGGTCAAATCGTATTAATAATCATGTTAGCTATTAGCATGTGAGAGCACAGTCCTTAATTTAGAAGATAGAGGGCCATGGTGCCTGCAATCATGAAAAAAGAGTCAGAAAAACAGGATGCCAAACCATTTCTTTAAGGAAGCAATTACAGTAATGAATGAATCAGAAAACATGTGCCACGAGAGACAGACAATTAAGGCAGTGAGTGTCTGGAATTTATACACACTCAGGCACATCAAAGAAACATGAGACAGATCAAAGCACTGTGAGACTCTAACAGGCTGCCCAGCCAAATCAGAGAAGAGGGCAATAGCACAAGCTCACCCACAGACAGCAGAGCTTCCCCTGGGGTCTTAGATGTTACTGATTCTGTGGAATTAGTTCTTGCAAAGGCAGAGGCTATCCCAATCCACAGTCTGATCCCCATACTTTCACTGCATTGCTCTCTTTTCTTCACTTGCCTTCCTTTCCCCAGAGCCCACATGGTCCAAGCAATCAAAGACACTCAGCATCTCCAACAATTCTGAGGATGCTCAGAGGGAACAGTGCTAGTGCAGGATGCTGGCTGCTCAAGCTGGCCTACAGTGGGGAAGGTCAGACAGCACCACAGTGTGCTGGACATACTCTCCAGACAACTGTTGCCTTGTTGTCTGCCTCTGGTTTGCCTGGCACTCTCAACAGGCAACGTTCACCTTACATATTTTTGTCTTGTATCCAATGTAATAATATTTTCCTTCAGGTTAGAAATACCAAGTGCAATTATAAAAAGAATTACAAAAAGATAATAAATCCCTTTTATTTATGGCTGAAACATGAGCATAGGTTTATAATTTATAAACATCTTCACATGCTCAGTGCTTTTAACCTCATTTATCAAACTTTTATCAGAGACGGATATAATAATGCCAAGAGATCAAAAGTAAAATTAAAACAAAAAGCAAGTGTTTCATCCACTCAAGCAATTGGTTTTGTTATCCATGGCGTACTTAGGGTACCATGAGAGAGCCATGAGAATTCCTAGCACTAAACCCCATCAACAAAACAGTAAAAACTATCCCAAATGTTCCCAAGACCATTCTAGAAATATGCTCCCTGTTAGACTGACCTTCTCCTAGTTCCCTTAGATTGAATCAGCCTCTCATAAAAATGAAGCAGAAACAAAACAACAGCAAGGATTTGAAAGTACTCACTATTCTCTCCCACCTTAAAGCTTTGCCAAAGACACAGCTACACCAGTTCAAAGTAAAAATAAAACTCTGTAGCAAGGTTGCATTGCTGTAGAAGTAGAAATTTTAAACACATTCATACTCTCCATAGATCCTCAGTGAAATCCTCAGTTGTCCAGTGGCAAACCCAAATGTTTAATAGATCAGAGAGCACACGCTTATTACGTGCTATGTATGAAAGTGTTTGGACTTCAGTGGGAATTACAGATCAGTGATCTGTAGTCGCTGTTCACAATTTGATGTTAACTATATCATGATTAAAGGATAGAGTAGATCTTCTTATCAAAATTCACATGCGGAGCATATCAAGAGACTGACACAGAGCAAAAAACTGAACCTGGTTCTGCCTCATCCCTTCCAATTGACCAAAGCATTAGGACTAGCCTGTCTCATCTCCCTTGCTGGCAAAAAAAAAAAAAAAAAAAAGTAGGCTTTCTCACTCTGTATCCTGGTGGAAGATTCTTTTTCTGTGTGCATAGAAGGGCTCCATTACAAATAATCAGCATTAGCTAATTAAAGGGTGTCTAAGGATGCAATGATACGTCCCACAAAATCACCTCTGCACTCACCTGTGATGCAACTGCGCATTTCCCTGGTTTAGCTGCAGCCTTTATTTCAGTGCATGTTGATTTTAAGTATCCATTCTTGATTTCCTCCTCTATGGAGCTATACGTATGGGGTTCAGTCGCTTCCAACAAGAACTTTGCCTCTTCATTTTTGCATCTGAGTGGGACTTCAGGAATACTGCACAGATGCACAGTAAGGCAGATTATGAAAACCAAGGCTGCGAAGAAGAAAATCACCTGGAATTCTGATGCCAAGGAATATCCTAGTACAGTCTGACCCCAATCCATAGCACCTGTCAGGTAACCCAGGGCTCCTCCCAAACCTGTAATGGTGGGGAAAAAAAATGAAAATCTACTGGCATTGATAAAGTAAACAGAGTACCCCATACCCCCAAACATGTGACCCCCTCTAGAAATGATGGAATAATCACTTTTCAGATATTAAACACAAGAAATAGGAATAGCAAGCTAATCATGTACATGAACAGCTACTAAATCATCTCTTGAAAAATCTCCTCCGATCTGGTAGACCGAGCTCTCCAGAAAATGCCTGAACATACAGCAACATCTCTTTTCTTGACTCTTTGGAGCTCTGTTTTCTTTGAAACAGTAAGTAATAAAAGTAAAGCAAAATAAAATTACACTGAAATTTATGGTTTGGGTTTTTTTAAATTTCACAGAATGAAAAAACATTTTTTAAATTATATCAAGACTATCTACAGTTTGGACTTTCTAAAATGCATTTTGTATTGCTTTGTCTAAACAGAAATACTTCCTCCATGTGAAAGTTTTTTAGAAAAAGGAAATAAACCCAAAAGCATTGGGGTGTAATTTTACAAATCCAAGTCCCTCACCACTTGGAATAGAAAACAAAAAGGATCAAATATTTAATTCCATTTACTGATTTTATCAGAAAAGGTAGACTGAAAGGTAAAATGAGAATGCTACCTTGTGCCTTGAAGTTAATAAACCCAGCGTTCAGTTAATTTTTTTTTTTTAATTTCTTCTTTTTGCTAGTGTTTTTACAGTCACTCAGCTCTTCCCAATGCACTTTACATGTACACAGCCTTATGTGTTTTTTCTCAAGACAGGGCTCATGTACTGCAGATGATTTCACAGAATCACAGAATGTTAAGGGGTTGGAATGGACACCTAGTCCCAACCCCCCCTGCCAGAGGCAAGGACACCTCCCATTATACCAGGCTGCTCAAGGTCCAACCTGGCCTTGAACACTGCTGGGGTTGGGGCATCCACAGCTTCTCTGGGCAACCTCTTCCACTGCCTCACTACTCTCACAGTAAAGAATTTCATCCCAACATCTAACCTAAATTTCCCCTCTTTCAATTTGTACCAATTATTCTTTGACCTATCTCGATTAAAAGTCCCTCTCCAGCTTCCCTGTGAGCCCTTTCAGATACTGGAAGGTTGCTGTGAGGCCTCCACACAATCTTCTCTTCTCTAGACTGAACAGACACAACTTTCTCAGCCTGTCTTTGTAGCGGAGCTGCCCCAGTCCTCTTATCAACTTTGCGGACCTCCTCTGGACTTGCTCCAACAGTTCCATATCCTTCCGTAAATCAGCAGCATTCCAAACATGTACAAAGACAAATGAAACTGCTAATTTTATTTTCAAGAGCCTGGGCTGAACCACTTGGTCCTATTTTGTGGAAGTTGTGAAGTTCTGAATTTATCACAGAACTCCTATTTCTACGTAGCACATACTGGAGCGCTGCTGAAGAATAGGAATCAACTAGTCTGGTTTGTGCAACTCTCGCTTTCTGTCACATCCCAAGTCAAAAATGTTATTTTTATGTGCACTAGCAGGGAAACAAGTTACACTCATTAATTTTTGCTTCACCAAAAAATTGAAAAAAAATCAAAACAATCTGAATAAACAGTACTTCACTTTTTAAAATAATTAACTGCTCTCACTTAAATCACAGCTACGTTGCTGTAATTGTTTATGCCTGCAGCCTTCTGCACTAGAATTCTTGTAGCAGTAATCACAAGTTGCTGTTCCCTGGAGTAGTGAAAACCCAGCAACAAAAGACTCGTGACTGAAGTGCAGGATCAGATGATCAGTTCATTCAAGAGTAGAAACACAGTGAGGATAAAATCCATGCAATTACCTTCCCCTCCTTTGAGAGGAAGGGAGGAAAAGAAGGGATCTGAGTACCTGTAAAGAGGGCGTGGTAATGCAGACCCTTCTCTTTATCCTGATGAGAGCAGACATCAAATAAATACGCTTTGATGGGGCCATCAATAAAATCAGCTGCAAAATCAAAAAGCACTACTCCCAGCATGGTAACGACTATTGCCCATGTCCGCTGCTTTTCATTCTCCTCGATGAAAGCTACAGAAAGAAAAACACCCTCATTCTGACAGCAGCAGTGCCATGTTCTGCAAAGCCACATTTTACCTTTCCTGATACCTCCAAATCTAAACAATGACGGGTTATGCAAGAGAGAACAGTGACACCAGAATCAGATCAGAGAAGCAGGAGAACTGAGTATGTGTAGCACTGAGATGTGCTATGTTGACTTACTGCCTTGAGTCAGCACATGCTCAGGGTGCTCCAAGATCCACAACCAAGAGCATCACTGTCCTTAATCCTTTACACCTCCATGGCATGCTCTCGTAGCCTAATACATGCATTTTGTTGTACTTTTGAGGTTTTTTTCTATTTGTCCCACCCTTCCATTGTTTTAGATAATCAAGAGTTGACTACAACGTCTCTTTCTGGGCAAATGAAACCAAGTATATTCAACATCAGGGATACGCAGGAAGAGAGAATAAATCAACCTAAAAACACACACTTCCCCCATCTGCTGTCATAACATCAGCAACAACTTTTCATTAAGACTTTAAGAAGTTACACCCCAAGCTGAAATATAACAGTCTCTGGGAATGTCATTCCTTTTTAATTTTGCATATTCCAGGTGTAACAGGGCTTCCAAGGAGTTAAAGACTTCTGTTATTCACCAGCATAACAAAGTCTCCAGTGCTGCAATAACTAAAGATACGTATTTTGATTGCTAATCCACCTAAAATGGGGATTAACAGATAGATATTCAGTTTGGATGTGTATTACATCACAAAAACAATTATTACCATTTAAGCTAATAATGTAGATCTTAGTTCATAAAAACTTCTACGGGCCTAAGCAAATCTTTACTTGTATGAGCTTATCAGGCAACCAAAGACTGTAATCACACATACAAACTACAGAACACTATGGATATGGTACATAACATGCAGCATTAGAATTGAATGTATATGAAGATTTCAGCGCTCCCCAGCTCCTTCAATGCAGCTGAGTCACATGATGCTCAATTTTAACAGTCCATTCTAAGAAGGAAAAGAGGAACCCCTCTCTTTTTTGTGATTCAAAAGGCTAAGGATGAGTTTTGTCTGTCAGCACAGTGCATGCCCCTCACTCACCTGAGATCATCACGTCCCCATTGAGGTACAAAGCCATGCCTAACAGCATTATGATGCCTAGACCCAGAATGTAAGGTCGCCTCCTGCCCCAGCTACAGGTGCAGTGATCACTGGCTGAACCTACCACGGGCTGCAGCACGAAGCCCAGGATAGGGCTGATGAGCCACACCAGGCTGTAGAGGTTCTTGGGCAGCCCTACACTGAGCAGCACCGGCGTGACAAAGGCGGCCTCCACGGCATAGCAGAACTCCCGGCCGAACATCGCCATACTGTGCATGACTAGCCTTCCCACCGCTCGCTTCCTGGGCACCACTGCTCCAGTCCTCAGCACTGACTGCCCCGGAGCCTCTTCCTTCTCTCTGGTGCTGTCCATGTCGGCCTTGGCCACTTCAGAAGCGGGTGGAGGAGCCCTGTGGAAGCTCTCCTTCGTTAAGGTCATTGCTCCGGCTGCGCACGGCGCTGTGGCAGGTCGGTGCTGCCTGCTCTGGCTGACATGGGGCCCAGGTCATATGCCGGGTGGGATCTGTCTGTGCTGGGGGAGGGACTCACATACTTTCATGGCTCTGCGATCACAAGTTATGCCAGGAAGGGGGCGGGGAAGTGTGTGTTAACATTAGCAGATCTGAGCTCTTGGGCGTCTGCACAGTTCCCAACTATCCACAACTAAGGAATTACTGTTTACGCATGAAGGACACATATAACGGGAACATACATCACATGGTCAAGGCGCAGGATTAGCCTGACACAAAGCTATTCCTCTTGCTGCTGTAGGACAGCAGCGATACCAGGAATCTAGAGCCCTCATCTTTACATTCAGCAAATACAAACACCAAAGTGCTGATTTCCTGCTGAGAAAAAAAATCTGTATGTGTCCAGGAAAGGATTTCAACGCACTTCATGAAGATGAGTAAGTGAACCTTCCCACTGCCCTCAAGCGTTAGTGGCAGTTAAAAAGGTTGACAGAAGTCTGTCAAACAGCAACTGGTAAGTATGTTTTTGCATCTGCTGTCTACTACCCTCAGAAGAACTGATTATTTCCTTGGTTTCTGAAAACAAAAGTGTGCTGGTTTTGGCTGGGATATCAGGATCACTTAGTTGTTTTTTTTTAAACAGTCTTACCTGACAAGGGAAGGCCCCACAAGAAATCCACAGTGACACACCCAAACTGTACCTTTCAGATTTAGCCATACAAGTGAGGCAACTGATCCAACCTGTGCTGAAGTAACATGAATTTTTAAGTTGACGCCAGTGATTCTGAGGTCAAAACTTATGTGCCATGGAGATTATTACATCTGACAACGCTGACTTTTCTCCAACATGAGCAGATGCACCTGGGACTAAGAAAACTGTCAGATCCTACCATAAAGGTGTATAGTACTCGGTAATTCAGATTAGAGTGAGTATCAGCTGGAAACATAAGTTGTTTTTTTTGCTCGTTGTTTAGATAATTTGTCAGGACCTAGTAGACAATTCTTGCTTTCAGGAAAGTGTTCATGTAATAGGATGTAAAGGGGTTTTTTATGGTAATAATGCTGACAGTTTTGCCATGACAGCTACAAAATGAGCTGAAGTATACCTCAGTTTTGGAAGCCTTTGTAAGCAATAAACTAATCCTCATCAAAATGCAGACAAAATTATGAAAAAGTCTCAACTTTTCATGCCATAATTTCTTACATGCTGGATTAGATAACACTGTATTAAAGCCACATAACTAATTCTTCTTAAAAGTGTATTTTCTTTTGCCTTGAAAAAGACGATTTCAAATGATGGTTTAATTTTGAAGAAAATTAAACCCAATAGAGAATAACCATTGTTTAAAACCTGTGCAGCTAAGTCGCCAACCACTTTTCCATATAGAAAGGAAACGAATAATACTTGGCAGGTATTTTAAAAATAAAAGTCATTCTGAAGTGAGTTTCTAGCCAAATTGAAGTTCCAAATGTAATGTAATCAGGAGACTGCATTGAGAAAATGTAGCCAGGCTATTAAACAGATAAACTTTATGGTAATAGCTCTGCAGCAGCACATAAGCAAACAGCATTAATTTGACCATAGCTTTGGCATGATAAAGCAAATTAATTAATATGATAAAATAGAGGGAAAAATCCCTTGTAATCTCTGAGTAAACAACAAATTCATTTACAAAGAATATAATTAAATTTTATTAAAAGTATTGCCTTCAAGTAATTACAACATATATTACAAAGCAATGATGTAGCTAAGAATTAAAAGAAACAAGCCACAGGATTCAATATTTAAACAAAAATTCTGAGAATGTACAGCTGCTTACTAAACAGACTGTGTAGATCTTCAGAACACAATTACGATATCATTCTGGACAACAGATGATCCATGTACATAACTCCCAGTGTTTTCAATTATATTTAAAATTTAAATAATTTTAAAAAATATATTATGTAAAAGCAATATTATGCAAACATTCATTTGTCATATAATTCAATTTTAATGCATAAAAAGTTACTCTATTGGCCTTAAATTTGTGTGATATGCACAGTCAGAGATTATAAATTAGCTTTGGGTTTACTGAATCCTATTATTTTATCAGAATGAAGTTTAGCAATCTCTTCCTTAGTAAACCCATTTTCTAGAAGTATCTCTTCCGTGTGTTCTCCTATAAAAGGATCTCTTTCACATGAAGGAACAGCAGGAGTCCTTGATAAAAGAGGAGCAGGTCTAGGACTTATCTCTCCCTGATCATTTTTGATAAAAGAACTTCTTTGTTTGTTATGCTGATCTGAGGCAACATCACTAAGGGATAAAACAGGGGTCACACAGGCATCAGTACCATCAAATATGCTGCACCACTCAGCCTGTGTCTTCTGTGCAAATATGGATGCAAATTTTTTCTTCATTTCAGGCCAGTCGGAAATACTCATCTGAATGGGAAGTTCATTTGAATCTAACCCAAGACCTGAAAGAAGAAAAGCAAAAGTTAACTACAATATACCTTAGATTAATTACTAAGTGCTCCCCACAAATAGTAAATTTCTCAAGAAGGTAGTATTTTTCAGGCAGTACTGAAAGTCACTTCAAACCTTATTCAGGCATCTGTGCAGGGCAGGGAGAAGAGGAATAAAATGTTCTATGATGCTTGCAATTAGACTAAACTGCATCAGCTACAGCTTTTTAACAAGGTGCATATAATAAACACTAATTTGTATGAACACTTCACAAAAGCAGCAGCTGCCTAGAGATAATAATGTCCTGAGAACAGCTTCTATAATAGCAATTGTATTCTCTACCTGGCAGTAGCAACACATAAGTCTGCTGAATGGGTCCTGGACTACAGCAACACACTTATCTCACAGAAGCCAGTACATCTGCTGGAGCTGGACACTCAGAAAGGCTGCAGTGTTTGAAGTTCAACACCATCAGGTTATTTCTGTGCCCCAGATGAGCAGATGGTGCAGATGGATGTTCCCAGGCTCAGTGCCTGCAGCCTGCAGACTGACCTGCTTCTTCACTCTCTCAGTCCCAACAGTCTCCAGCAGTGTCTCCTGCTCTCTCTTCCTCAGCACACCTCCCAGACTCCAATCCTCCACTGCTGCTCTTTGGGAAAAGTGAAACCCATAGTCCTTTCACTCACTAACTGCTTAAGAACTTTGCCTTCCATGTCAGTCGCAAGAACCACCCAGGTACGCAATATGCACATCCCTCCTGAGACTCAAGAGCAAAAGATGGACATACAGGTTTGTACTGAAAACTTCCTGAACTAGCAAGTACCGGGGCCTTCCCTAAATTAGCACCACATTCCCTCCCACTGGGCACCTTACATCTCTTCTGTGCTGCTGGTTTCCAATCTCTGATTCTGTTCTCATGGATTCTGCTCTCTGCGCTCCCTACTCTTCCATTCTGCTATTCAAGGAGATGCAAGAATTTTTATCACTTCTTGTAGGGTTGATCTCAAAAAGGAGGTAAGAAACAAGAGAAAAGCCAAGTAAACTACACTTAAAAAATGGAGATGATAGAGAGGTACAGGCAGACCTTATGATACCAAATAGAAATCAGAAGTGATATACTGAAGGCTGTCCAAATAGTTCCACCTTGAAATTCAGGAGCATGAACACAGCAGGAAAAATTCAAAAAACCAGGGATAAGAAAGAATTTAATTTGAGAAATGAGAAAGACTAGAGAACAACTCTCACCACAATGCTTCACAAGTAACAAAAAAAGGGAGCTGCTTAGAAAACAACAGTTCTGTGTCAAAGGCAGTGAACATACACAGCCCTGCAAACATTTAATTTTGAACATTCTTTCTAGTATCTTTGGATATCTGTTGACCAACAAGTGTTAGCAGGCTTGAGTACTAGACAGCTGTTTGCAGGTAGAATTTACACAGAACTCCCCCAACCTTTAGCTGTAGATAGGCAGAAAAAACTTAAAGTTATCTTCTATTTCTACTTCTATATTCTACTTTCTTTCTTCTTCCAAGATTCCTTGTCACTGAGAGAGCTGTTGAAACATAAAGGGGAGAAGAAAAATAGACAATGTCTATTCTTCTGCTCTTTATGTTCTTTCTTTCTCATAATCTCTACAAGATGCAATTCTTGGGGCCTGCAGTTCCCACCAGCTTAACATAATATTTGAGAATGTAACTACTGAGCACAGGATTCTTAAATAATAGCTTTAAAAATTAATATATGCTTCGAAATTGTACTTTGGTACTTCAAAGGAAAATATACAGAAATTGCCAATCTCCAGACCCAGAAATACAGCCTTGCAGTTGTTTACTTTTAGAAGAAATTTGACACAAAGACAAAATAAGCATTTTCAGATATTAGATATGCCTACAGATATCAGGATGAATGTTACTACACAGTAAATATCAGTCCTTATGGATGGTGATACCAAGTCATGTGCACCTTAAATTACTAAACCTATAATCTAGTGCTCTAATGCCATCCTAAAAAGAGATCAGCTGAAGATTACCCACAGTGGTTGAAAATCCGTAAAGAAATAAAAGTTAGCAATACTTTAAAAATTAATTGCAGTATTAATTTTCAAAGTATAATACCAAAGATGAACAGCTTCAGTGAAATTTCCTTACGAACTATGAGGTGAGATGAATTCACCTTCCACAATATGGACAGCTAAGTAACAACACACTGCCTGAGATTCTGTCTCAGTGCATGAAATCTTGCCAGTTGGAAACTTTGTTTCATAAGTACTTATTTGCTTATTAATTATAGTTTGGGTCCTAGCAGCCAGTCCAACACGAACAGAGCTCTACCATTATCCCATGACAGAATTATATTCGACGGTTGTAGCAGATGGAAAGTTGGCTGAACGTAATGACACACATTCTGGCAGAACAGAACAATGTGCAGAACCTGGAATTTAATATTACATGCTCATTTTCCGTTTACCACAGAAGACTTCAAATTTAAATAGCATGAACTGACACCATTTAAGCACTGCAGCTTCTCATTTTCCAGTTTGTGCTAACCATTTGTGGTGCAGATGAGCA